GAGAGAGAGAGAGAGAGAGAGAGAGAGAGAGAGAGAGAGAGAGAGAGAGAGAGAGAGAGAGGGACTTTGGAGATGGGGCCAGGGTTGACGTACAAGGACAAGAAGATTCTGGCCCCGATGGTGCGAGTGGGGACTCTACCCATGAGGCTGCTTGCTGCCGAGTATGGTGCGGACATCACCTACGCAGAGGAGATCGTAGACCACAAGATGCTAGGCACAGCAAGGATGGAAAATGATATTCTTGGCACCGTGGACTTCGTCGAGAAGTCGACTGGCGAGGTGGTCTTTCGCACATGTCCCGCGGAGACCCCCCACGTCGTCTTTCAGATGGGCACGGCGGATCCGGTACGCGCATTGAGGACCGCCGAACTTGTCTGCAGGGATGTTGCAGCTGTTGATGTCAACATGGGCTGCCCCAAGCAGTTCTCCATCAGTGGAGGCATGGGCGCCGCCCTCCTGTCGAAGCCGGAGCTGGTCCGCGACATCTTATCCACTTTAAAAAGGAATCTTGATTTGCCGGTCACGTGCAAAATCCGACTTTTGGACACTTATGAGAAGACGGTGGAGCTTGCGAGAGCCGTCGAAAGAACAGGAGTCGCGGCAGTTGCAGTTCACGGAAGGCGTGTGCGGGACCGACCCCGGGACCCGGCCCAATGGGACGGCATTGCTGCAGTGGCCTCAGCATTGTCCATCCCGGTCATCGCGAACGGGGACGTGTTCGAGTACGCAGACTTCGAGAGAATCAAGGAGGCCACAGGTGCTGCAGCTGTCATGGTCGCCCGAGCTGCAGCCTGGAATGTATCTATTTTTAGACCAGAAGGACCTCTGCCTATTGAGCTCATCAAGCAGGAGTATGTTAGGAAGTGTGCAAGCACCGCCAACGATGTGAAATCCACCAAACATACTCTAAAGGAGATGATAATGCACCATTCATGCCTCGAGTTCCCCGAAGGGAAGGCATTGAACGCCTGCCGGTCTCTTCAGGACATCTGTAAGCTGTACAAGGTGGGAGAACTCTACGAATCAGATGGATTTTGGAGGTGGAACAGCAGCAGCAGGAGCAGCAACACAAGCAGCAGGAGGAGAAGGGAGGAAAACCAGGACCAGAACAGAGACCATGACCAGAACCATGACCAGAACAGAGACCAGGACCAGGACCAGAACCAGGACCAGAACCAGGACCAGAGTAGATACCAGGACCAGAACAGAGGGGTCCAAGAGAGAGTAGACTCTGAGTTAGGCAATGAACAGAAGAGCAATGATGGATGGACCCCACCCAATCAATCAGGGGCTGATGGGAAACAACCAAGAGCAGATCCCAACTGGGACATGCTAGGAGAGACGTTCTGGTCAAGTCTGCAACTGAATGAGGCTTGGAGGTGATGTCCAAAATCTCATTTTGCAATTGACTTTTTTTTTTTTTTTTTTTTTTTTTTTTTTTAGATTGGAAAAATGTGCAGTAGAAAGCTGTTAAGTAAGGTCGCACTCACACATTAGTAGCCAGTCAAACCAGGTGGCAGAGGGAAAGATCCCAACTGTAGGCTACTGATTGATTGATTGATTGATTGTATCACGGGGGACGAGAGGAGGAGGAGGAAGATGCGAACTGTAGTTGCTCAAGGTGGCGATCGTCACATCGGTACTTTATTTGAAAAACTTGCAGAGATCCAAATAGCGAGAGCGAGCGAGCGAGCGAGAGAGAGAGAGAGAGAGAGAGAGAGAGAGAGAGAGAGAGAGAGAGAGA